TCATCTTCTCACATCAGGAACCTGTACAGAGACACTCGTCCATCTCGCAAAGAAGATTCAGTGTGTGCTCAAACTTACCCAAGCTTCAAACCACTCCTCTCCTTCCCAAAGAGGAAATCTTTTGAGGTGTGGTGCATTTCTTTCTCTCCTTGCTCCTTTTTTCCTGCTGTTACAATGCAGATTTCCCCAGCTAGGAAGTCACCTTTGACACCATCTCTCATCTCTCTTCCTCCAAGAGTATTTTCTCTACTCTCAGCCTTTCCACGCCTCACACCCACAGGGAAAGATTCACAGTTCTCACCTCTTGGAGAACAGTGGCTTCCTATTTTCTCCATACTTATCAAATCACACCTTAGTCTGTGTGGGCTTTTTGTTCTCTCTGGACTTTCATTTCTACCTCTACATGAATGCACTACAAATCCCCAGCCCTGACCTGTCACTCTCCCTTCAGGCCTCTAGCGGCGGCGGCGGCGGCGGCGGCGGCGGCGGCGGCGGCGGCGGCGGCATACTGATCACATCCTGTTGAAGGGCCTACCAAGCTTAAAAACTAGAACTGCTTTGAAGTGAGCTCGATTCCCCCTTACAAACATGAATTCCTTCTCAAATTTTGCATACTATCAATGGTACTATCAATCCAATTCCTATCATTCTGCCTAGATGTCCTGATTCTTAAATGCTATATCACCCCCTTGCTAAGACAAATAACATTCAGGTAACTCCAAGCTACCCCATTCTGGATTCCCTCCTGTTAACTGGCTCTTCATTTTAATCTCTTTAAGTTTTGTGAGGATAGAGAGCTTAAGAAGAAAAAAAAAAAAAAGACCTAGAACAGGTTGTTCAGCTCCAAATTCTGTCCCTAGCAGGTCAGGAACTGTCCCAGGGATTGTGAAGCCCATTTTCTCCTGTTAGTACCTGGGACTATCTGCACTTTCCCAAGAAATCCATGCCTGCCTGTCCCCTATACCCTGGCTCCAGACTAACCACACTGCCCTGTGCACACAGGGCTGGCCTTTAAGAAACCCAGGTGAGGATCCTTCCCAGTCTTCCCACTGCCCCCTCCCCAGACCTAGCTTGATCACCCCAGAAGACCCACCAAATTCATTTACTTGTTTCTTCAGGCCTAACCACCTACTCTCAGGCTGTTTTGCCTCAGCACAAAATCATTTTTCAGTCTCTGAGTGTTTGGAATTAAAAAAAAACAAACAAACTTGAAGTCAGAGATTTCTTGCCTGACCAGTAAGCAAATATTTTCAAGCGCCAGACTCTACTTCTGTCCACAGGCCCCAGCGACCTAGCAGCTACCCACCCCCCACCCCCCACCACCCAGCCACCTCTTTATATCCAGTTCTGGGAGGAATCCTGACGGGGCAATAACTCTACCAAGTGGGCCAATCCCCATGAGTTTTGGCTCACCTGAGAATGTACCCCTCGCTCAACCCAAACCACTTGCTGCACTGATGTCCCCAAGATGTCCTCCTTTAACAGCTACTTGAATCTCACTCAGGACATCATGTGCTCTGCGGCTGTTTCAGGCGGTGCTGTGTCACCATCCCGCTTACACACGCACAATACCTACGTGCAACTCCCGCCCTGTATCCTGTGGCCTGAAGAGGTTGCCACTCAGCTCACTTCCCCACTGTTGTTCCAAGCTCCTCGTTCCTCCAGCCCTCATTTTAAGCTCTAACACTCTCTATTCCTTGTCCCCTAATGATTTCCTTGTCTCTCCTGTACATTCACGGAGGATGTGGGCATCTGGGTCACAGCATCCACCCCCCGCCCCAGCCCTGCCTTCATCCCAGCTGATTCAATGTCCATACTGATAAATCACCTGGAATTTGAGCCTTGTCTCCTTTTTCACTGCGAAAATCAAGATCCTCAAGAAGATGGTCCTTGCCTTCCTTACCCTGCCACCTACTTAGCTATCCTGTGGGGACCCCACCTTTCTTCCTCCCTTCCAAGCTCAGTAAAAGATATGTTTCCTCTTCCCCTATGAAACATACACTGCAATCTGTGCTCTGCATTCCATCACCTCCTACTTGCCTCTTCCAGGATCTACTCCAACCATCATCTCCCTCCACCAACTTCAATGGCTCCTTGTCCACTAGCTTTCTTTTAATTGAAGTCTAGTGGACATACGGTGTCACATGATCAGTTTTAGGAGTGCCACATAGTGATTCCACAAGTCTATATGTTATGCTGTGTTCACCGCAAGGGTAGCTGTCATCTCTCACCATGTGACACTATTACAATACCACTGACTATATTTCCTGTGCTGTACCTTTCATCCCCATGACTCATTTCTTACAAAACTGGCCCACTGTCTCTTCCTGTTCTCCAAAACCATTTCCAGATCTCTTCGGAGAAATGGGCCACTGTCTATACCTGCCACCACTACCACATTAGTTTTGTCTCCCCATCAGAAATGAACTTCTCCAAAGAGTTGCCTACATTCTCTACACTCCCATCTGCTAGTCCAGAGATTAGCAACATACAGCCAACGGAATCCAGTCTGCCACCCATTTCGGTATGGCCTGAAACTGGGAATGTTTTATACATTTTTTGTAATGGCTGTACAAAAGTCAAAAGAAGAACATTTTGTGACACATGAAAATGACGTGAAATTCACATTTCAGTGTCCATCAGTAAATGTTTATTGGACACGGCCGTGCCCATTTGTTTACTAATGGTCTGTGGTAGCTTTTGCACTACAAGGCACAGTTGAGTAGCTGCCAAAGAGACTGTAGAATCTGCAAATAGCCTAAACTATTTACTGGCTGGTCTTACGGGAAAGGTTTGCTGACTTCTGCCTTGGCCTCTACCAACTGTCCTCCCACACTTCTACTAGAGGGATCTTTTTGAAGCACAAATCTGATTATATATAGCACAGCCCTGCTCCAAACCCTCCAGTAACCGCACTGTCGTCAGTTCTGGTTCCTTAGCCTGACCTGTGATGCTCCCTGAGCCCCGACTCCCTACTGCTTCTCCCCCAAATATCGTTTGCTTCAGCCATTCTGAACTCCGTGGGTTCCTGAATGCTTCATGTGGTTTCATACGTGTATGTGCCTTTCCATGTGCTCCCTCTGCTTGGAAGTCCTTCAACTCTTTCCTCACCTAACCTCTGCTCCTCTGACAAAACTCAGTATAGAGGTCACTAAGCTTTCCGGGATGCCCTCAGGCTGAGTCTGGGGCCCTTTGTATGAGCTCCCACAGCCCACTGGGCAACTCTTTCTTTTAGCCCTCATGAAATACTGTCATGCCTGATTTACATGTTTGTTAATCCGCAGGTCATAGATAGGTACTCTGAGGGTAGGAACCAGGCATTACTTATTTCTTTACTGACAGCATCTAGCATAAGGTCTAATCCAAAGAGGTATTCAATAAAACACATCTAAGGGGCCCCTGGATGGCTCAGTCAGTTAACTGTCTGCCTTCGGCTCAGGTCATGATCCCAGGGTCCTAGGATGGAGCTCCAGATCAGGCTCCCTGCTTAGTGGGGAGCCTGCTTCTCCTTCTGCCTCTGCCTGCCACTCCTGCTTGTGTGCTCTCTCTTTCTCTCTGTCAAATAAATAAAATCTTTTTTAAAAAATATAACACATCTGAGCATCAGTGAATGTCTCTCAGATTTAACTGAGGACCAAAGAAATCTCCATGTTTGCAGATGACATTAAATTCTCTTAGGGACACAGACTCAGTTCAAGGATTAAACTGAAAGAGGACTTTCCAGTACTGGGCACATAGTAAGTGCTCAGTAAATACCTGATCACTGAAAAGTGGAGATAAGTCCTTGGCTCACAGGAGATGCTTGATAAACACTGAATTGATTGAGTCCCGAAATGGGGGAAAGGCTGGAAAGCAAAGTTGAGGCCATACTGTGGAAGGTCTTTATGCTGCAGACATTTTTAACTCATTCATTTCCCTGGTCAAGACTTCCCCAATGTTAATTTGGCAGCAGAAAGGGGGATGAATGAAATGCAGACAGATGGGCAGTAGGGGAGGCTGATTAAGAGGTTAGAAAAGTTGAAAAAAAGGTGTGGGAGGGTTAGAATAGGCAGCCTTAACTGACCGGATGCAGTAGGAATGGAAAAGGGAGAAGGGAGGTAGGGTTCAGCAGCCAATGCAGAGGTAGGACTAACCTGTCATGGAAACTGACTGGGCAGGTAGATGGGGAATGCTTGAGAAAGGGCAATTAGAAGACTACAGCAAAGTTTTAAACCCGTGCAACCTGAAAATGTAGGAGTGCTAATAGCATTAAAATGGGAGTCATGGGGTGCCGGGGTGGCTCAGTGAGTTAAACCTCTGCTTGGGCTCAGGTCATGATCTCAGGGTCCTGGGATTGAGCCCCGCATTGGGCTCTCTGCTCAGTGGGGAGCCTGCTCCCCCTGCCCTACCTGCCTCTCTGCCTACTTATGTTCTCTCTGTCAAATAAATAAATAAAACTTTTTTAAAAATGGGAGGCAGGAGGTACAGCTTGGCTCTGGACTGGTTGGATTTAAGGGACTGGTGGGATGTCCAAGTGGAGGGTCTGCAATTCAGGAGTGAAGTCAGGACCAGTGAAAGATGTGGGAGCTATACAGGCTATATTGAAGTTATAGGAACTCATGTGTTCTCCAAAGAACAGAAGGTAGAAAGAGACCCAGTTTTAAGGCAGTGGTATAAGGAATGTCTATATTCAAGAAGTGGGAGGGGGGACCTAGGTAGTTCAGTTGGTTAAGCGTTGTTTAAGCGTCAGACTCTTTTTTTGTTTGTTTGTTTTTGTTTTAAAGATTTTATTTATTTATTTGACAGAGAGACATCACAAGTAGGCAGAGAGGCAGGCAGAGAGAGAGAAAGGGAAGCAGGCTTCCTGCTGAGCAGAGAGCCCGATGTGGGACTCGATCCCAGGACCCTGAGATCATGACCTGAGCCAAAGGCAGCGGCTTAACCCACTGAGCCACCCAGGCGCCCCGAAGCGTCAGACTCTTGATCTCAGCTCAGGTTTTGATCTCGGGGTCGTGGGTTCAGGCCCCGCATTGTGTTCCATGCTGGGTGTGGAGCCTGCTTAAAAAAAAAAAAAGAAGTGAGAGGAAGAATAGGTCACAGATATCAGTTGGCGGGATGCCTGGGTGGTTCAGTCAGTTAAACATCCCACTCTGGATTTTGGCTCAGGTCATGATATCAGGGTCCTGAGATACAGCCCTGTGTCTGGCTCCCTGCTTAGTAAAGTCGGCTTGGGATTCTCTCTCCCTTTCCCTCTTCATCCCTCCCCCTTACCATGTGCATGCTTGCACATTCTCGCTCCCTCTCTCAAACAAACAAACAAACATTAATAACAACAACAAAAAGCCCCCAATATTAGTTAGGACACAGTATAGTGCTAGAGTTTTATGTTCACTTCCTGAACTTATCAGCTCAGTGTGCTAAAACAGCAAATTAGACTTTTGGTGTCATTTTCAGGGTCAAGGCTACTTGAAATAAATAATCATTTTAGCCCCAGACAAGTAACCTAGGATACTTTGTGCAGATGTGGTAATGAAACCCCAAGAGAGATATTAGTAGATCTAGAAATGGCCCAGAGAAGGGCAATTAAAATAAACAAAGGAGAGAAGCTACTGATGTTTTCAGAAAGACCAAAGGGATAAAGAACTCCTTTAGTCTGGAAAAACTGCTAGAAGACTCTACAGTAGCAGCAGCAGGAATGATAATGGCTAACATTTACTGAGTACTCACCATGTGAGGTTATTCTTTTTCTTTAAGATTTTATTTTTTTGAAGTAATCTCCATCCCCAACATGGGGCTCAAACTCACAACCTGGAGATCAAGAGTTGTATGCTCCACCAAGTGAACCAGCCAGGCACCCTTCCTACCCCAAGTGGGATTATTCTTAACTCATATGTGTTGTCTCCCTCAATCCTAAGAACAATCTTACCAGGTAAGTACTATTATTATCTCCACTTTACAGATGAGGAAATTGAGGCACTGTAAAGTTAAATAACTTGCCCAATCTCCCAGATAGTAAAGGAGAAGCCAGGATTCAAACCCAATCTGTTTCTAAAGCATACACTTTTAACCACAGGAGTATAAAACTTTCAGTAAACAAGTCTTCAAAGATATGAATCAAGTAACCACAGTCTTATTTACTGAGATTCAAAACGCGAGATGCCAAGGGGCCACTTAATGCATTAAGAGGGATACATGGTTTCATTGTTTGAACTTCTTACACAAACACACACCATTTTTGTAAAGAAATAAAAAAGAGATGATACAATTTCAATATAAAGGTTGAAAATACTAGTCTACCCAGCAGGTAGTAAAATTCTAGAATTAGTTACCCAGGGAGGTTGAAATAAGTATAAATAGTTTGAAGAAAGGTTTAGTACCTACAGTAGATATGTTCCTTTACACATACCTATAACAGCAACGTATTCCTAGGGAAAGTAGGTTTTTGAACTAGATAGGAAAGGACAGAGCACGCTGGAAAGAGGGAGAATGTGTGTGGGAAATGGAGGCACATCTGAGTGATGTATGAAGTCACTCGCCTAGTTGGGTAGCATGTAACCAAATTAATTAACTTGAAGATAATTTGGGATTGCAGTGCTTTCTCTATTCAACAGACTATCCTGGGAAAACGTGATGCGCCTTCATAAATAACATCTGGGTCGGAAATGCTTTAGAGATCATTATCCCCGCCTTTAACAAATCCACATCTTGTATCCTCTGTGCATATGGAAAATGACTGTTTCTTTAGGAAAACTAAAGGCACTTTTGGGGTCACCTAGGAATTTAAGTGTTCTTTCACATGAAGTTTGACTTCTGTTCTAAAAGCTCATGAAAACAGTGCTGCCCCTAGCTGTACCTTGCACCTTTGGAATGAACTCCAACCTAGAAAACAATGTATGACTGGACCCAAGGTACTTATTTGAATGATACAATCTTTGGTAACTATGACTCTGAATGAATTCCTTGGCTTCCCTTCATGTTAAAATCTACAGATGAGACCATTAAAATCCCACTCCCTGAATAGGAGTTAACCATTTATTTTTAGAAAATGCAAAACTAGCCTAGTTTCTTTTGCATTCCGCACATGGGTAAGATATTCAAAAGAAGAGAATGGGGGCATGCAACTTAGACTGTAGTGGACAAAACAAAATTCAATGCTTGCCCACTACCCTGAAGACTAGGATAATGTATGGTGGCTTATAGAAATACCAGATTTCTTACCAGCTCTCTCTTTTTTCTTTAACCTCATCTTTTCAAAGGAAAGGAACCAGACCTCAGCTCCCTTAAGAAACCTAATGATTTTTCTGCTTTGGATAAATTAATATTAGCAGAGATAATTTAATAAGATATCTGAAAAGGCTATTTTAAATTTGACCATTATCAAAGCTAAAACCAAGGGTTAAGACTTTTTTTTTTTTTTTTCTGGTCAACTACCTTTTCTATTTTGCCACTTCCCGGGGTGAAGGAAGCACTTTCCTGTCAAGTACAGGAAGATTATTTCCTGGTTCTTCCTGATTGTGTGGTTTATAAATACGCCTACATTTGTAAGGAATACATTACGCTGTACTTGACATTGATTGAGTACCGTGTCAAATCTTGGCTTAGAGGTGAAAGAATTGGAGTGGGCCCAGAGAAAAATAATGAACATAATATTTGTCCTCTTGGAACTTACATTCCAATGGGGGAAGAGAGAAAGTGAACAATAATAACACAACAAACATAATAAACAGGTAAATTATAGAATATTTCAGAGGGTGATATAGAGATAGAGCAGGCTAAGGGGGCCGGGAATGGTAAGATTGCAAATTTAAAAGGCGTATCCAGGATATGCATCTTTGAGTGTATGAGAGTTAGCAAAATTGATGCAGCTCAAAAGTAGAATCCTGGCAAGACTGAGGCATTTACCTTTTGCCATGCCGCTTACAACGCTGTGCCTATCAGTCAGGGGTCACTGGAGGAGTTGGTGCAGAGTTTGGAAAAATAGATGAATTCCGTCTTGGCCATATTAAGTTCCAAGTGCCGCAGGATAGAAATAAGCGATTAGCGGGTCTGGAAATCCAGGTCTGGAGCCAAAGAGAGACATTTGAGATCGAGATGTCGCTTTGGAATTACGGTGTTATCGACGGTAGCTGAAGGGGTGGGAATGAAGAGGTAAGCTCGCCAAAGGAGAGCAGAGTGAAAGAAAGGGAGAATCTCACTAACGGCTGTGTGTATTTTAGGGGATAGAAGACACAGACAAATCAAAGAGGGAGAGTACACTTTTTTTCTGATCGGAGATAGACGAGGTGGGCTGGCGTTTTGCGTGTCCTTTATTCCTCCCCTTTCATTTCTCCCTAAACTGGCTCTCTTCAGGACAAACCCTCCCGCGTGACACGACACCCCTTGGGACACGAGTCTTTCTTCAAGACCTTTTGAAGGTAAGGAGAAGGGAACTAACTTTTACGGAGCATCCCACGCGTGCCACGTGTTTGGGGTTCCAAATACCGGGTTGTTCTCTTCTACACCCCACCCGCCTCTTCGCTTTCACAACCTTGCCGACTTCAGCAGTGTTGGCTCCCAGAGGGCTGAAGCACTGGACAGGCTGGCAGAAAACAAAGGACCCAGCTGGAGGGAAAAGCAAAGCAAACAAACAAACCCCCTGCGAGGAGTAGAGACCCAGCGCCGCCAGCCTTGAACCTCCACCTCCAACCCTCCCCGCGCCGCGCCCCTCACCCGGCCCGGGCCTCTCCTCAGGCCCCGCCTCTTGCCCCGCGGCCCGCGCTCATTCGCTGGCGCCCTTCCGCTCCGCTTCCCCATTGATCCGCTTTCGCCTCCTTCGGTACGCTCTCCGCTTAGCTCCGCCCCCCACGGAGAGACAGCGCACGCAAGCTCGGCTCGTGGTCACTCGCGGACCTTATTCCGTGTCGCTTTCCCCTTCTTCCCGTCATTCCTGCTTCCGCTTTCTCACGGCTCTTTGGTTTTTCCACCTCTGAGGCACTTCGCGCCCAGGGGTTCGGTGACGTCATCTCTCTGCGCTGCGCGGACACCCGCCCGTGGAAGAAGGAACAGCTCCGCCGCCCTTCGCCTCTTTTGTTGGGCTGCTGCTCCTCCGGAATCATGGCGCCGTCACTGTGGAAGGGGCTGGTGGGCGTCGGCCTCTTTGCCCTAGCCCACGCGGCCTTTTCCGCTGCGCAGCGTAAGTGCCGGGGGGGACAGCGACCGCTCCTCTGTGGGACTCCGGGGGCGGTGTGTGGGAGCACCCTGAGGGAGTGTCGGACCGAGTGTCCCAGGAATGGTCGTTTGAGCCCTTAGAGTTGGGGGGGTGACTTCGAGAAGCGGCGCGGGGCTTCCCGGTGGAAGGCTCGGAGTCTGAGTTTGAGGAGACGGGCACCTGAGAGTGCAGCAGGGGTGGAAGGGGAAGAGGGTGTCTGGGAGAGAAGGCTCTGAGCTGACTGCAGGGTGGGCAAAGAGGGAGTCTCTCCGGCTGCGGGGTGACCAGGAAGGCAGTCTTTTGGGGAATGCGGGACAGGTGATGTCAGATCCAGCGTGGGGCTGAGCAGGCAAAGTGTCAGAATGAAGACTTCGGGTGCTCATGGTCCCATGACAACTAGGTGGACAACATCTTGGGCACTCCTGGCTGTCCAGGTAGAGTGAGAAGTTAAGTGACCGTTTGCCTCATGGGGGCACTGTGGTACAGGAGAAAGAGCACTGGACTGGGAGTCTGGAGGGCTGGTTCTGAAAAACTTGCTTTACCCCTAAATCTGTGTGACCTTGGGCAAGTCATGTCCCTTCTCTGAGCCTTCATTGAGGTGGATTTTAATTCTTGCTTTTTCTGTGTCACAGAATCACTGGGAAGTTTAAAAGAATAAAGTAAAACTACTTTAACATACACATACTATTGTATCATCAAGAAGAAGCTTGGAGTCTAGCAGAGGAGGTATAGCTGTCTTGAGACAGCTGATTTGTTTTTTGTGGTCTTCCCTCTCTATTAGGTCAGGGGTCAGCAAACTGGCATGTGGGCCAAATGCAGCCTCTCTCCTGTTTTTGCAGTGAGCTAAGAATGTTTTCACATTTTAATTTGTTGGGGGAAAAAAAACAAATGAATATCATTTCATGATCCATGACAATTACATAAAATCCAAGTTTCAGTGTCCATCAATGAAGTTTTCCTGATAGACAGCTACGCCCATTCATTTAGGTATTGTCTGGCTCCTTTCTAAGTGAGAAGTTGAGTAGTTGACACAGACACAGTATGGCCTGCAAAGCCCAAAATATTTACTCTCTCTTTTTTTTTTAAGATCTTACCTAGCCACCTGACAGACAGAGATCACAAGTAGGCAGAGAGGCAGGCAGAGAGAGAGAGAGGAGGAAGCAGGCTTCCTGCTGAGCAGAGAGCCCTACAGTGGAGCTCCATCCCAGGATCCCGGGATCATGACCCAAGCCGAAGGCAGAGGCTTTAACCCACTGAGCCACCCAGGCGTCCCTATTATCTGACTCTTCAAGGAAGAGTTTGCTAACCTCTGTCTTAGATTGTAGAGCCCACAAGGGCAGCCCATTTTGTTTATTGCTGTGATCTCTGTGCCTAGCACAATGTTTTCCCACAGTAGGTACTCAATAAATTAGTCGAATGAAGGAAGTGAACTCAAAGTTGAACTTAATTCATTTGCTAGATTACTTTCCATCTTCAGGAATAAAGTAGAAAATGAAATGTGAATTCCTTCAAAGCTCTAATTTTTTTCAAGATAAAACCTTTTGTTTATTATGTAGAATTAAAATGATCCAGTTATTTTAACTACTTTTTACATACATGTACTGACATTTGTCTGAAACTCAGCTTTATTTTTTAAATACATTTTTATTTTGAAATTTTGCAGAGAAGTTGCAAAGATAGTACAGTTATTCTATACCCCCACCCAGTGTCCTGCATTGTAACATCTATTACCATGGTATATTATCACAACTAAGAAACTGATACTGGTATAATACTACTAACTAAAGTCAAACTTCTTTTTGGGTTTTACCAGTTTTTCCAATAAGGTCTTCTGTTCCAGAAATCAAGCAGGGTATCACGTTACATTTGGTTGTCGTGTTTCCCCAGTCTTCTATATTTTGTGACAGTTTCTCCAAAGCTCCAGTCTTTAATGATAACAATATTACAGCTAATGCTTATTAAATGCTTACTGTGTGCCAGGCACTGAACTAAGCGCTTTACATGTATTATCTAATTCAGTCCTACCAAAAGCCCTGTGAAGTAGCTGTTGTTGTTATCACTCTTGAAAGATGAAGTTGAGACACGCATAGCTGGGAAACTTGCACAAACTGACAGATGATGTGGGGCCAGGATTCAAAGACAAGCAGTTTGACTCTAGAGCCTGTGTGCTACACTGCTTTATGAAATTCATTTTTGTGTAAGTGGTTGAAATAGTGCTGTGCTTAGGTGCCAGAGGTACAGTGATGCCCTAAGGGAGTTCAAAGTCAAGTGGAATCAATAAATAATCACGATAAAGTGCTATAGATGCTGTGCTAAGAGTATGTCAGGATGCATGGAGACAGGCTGGGGATGGAAGGTGGGGGACAGAGGGTTAAGGAAATACCTTAGAGCCTTGCTGCTCAAGGGTGTTCAGCGGACCAGCCTCCAGGGAATTGCCTGGGAGCTTGTTAGAAATGCAGAAACTCAGGCCCCGCCCCAGAGTTTATTGAATCCTAATCTGCATTTTAATAAGCTCCCCAGGAGATCTGTCTACACATTCATTTGAGAAACACTACCCTAGAGATCAGGATACTGTGGAGTACTGCGTCATTTTCTACAGTTGGCTTCAGCTGTAAAATTTTACAGTACTCGAGCAAGGAGATCACTGAAGTCCAACCCCTTCATTTTACAGATGAGGAAATGCCTGGTTAGAGGTACTGTTCAAATCAGATTAGGCTGCATGCAAAGCAGAAAGCTGGCTAGGAATTGAACAGACAGTAGGAAGTTAGCCAAACCTATTTTTAGTATTGGATTGATGTTTCTTTTACACCGGTCCTAATGTTAAACCTGTAAGATAAAACTTAGAAATGTCTCTAAACACATTGTCTTTTAAGAATTGCTGCATGTTCCCTCACAGCAATTTGGGTTTTTAAGTCCACAGCACATTGTTAAGTAGGGATTGTGCCAGGTTTTTCTAGAATTAGGATTTTGTGTTTTTGTGTTTCTGATGAGATGAGAATGCCTTGTGGCATTTGTCACTACAGTGGGACCGCTTTATAATGCTCATGTTGGAAAAAGACTAATATTTACCTTTGAAGCTAATTGTGTCATGTCAGATGGTAGCTGCAGATAACACACCTTTGTGCTACGGGCATGATCACCTTTGCTGGGATGAACTTTGTTATGGCAGAATGGCTACCATGTATCTAATGTAATCTTCCCATTATCCCCCATTTTACTGTTGCAGACAGTTAGGCAGTAGAAAGATACTGTATTTCTTTGATTCCAAGATACACTCCCCCTCCCACTCCTACATTTTAACAGTCTGAAATTGAGATACATGTTACAATGCACCAGAATGTCTTAAGGTTTGATGAGATAAAGTCAGTGAGTGACAGGAAGTGGAGGAGCTGGTTTTATGATCCTGGCTGATCAGCTTCCAAATCCTGGTCCTTTTCTTTAATACCTTGCTGCTTCCTGAGGCTAAGGCAGCAGCAGAATTATGATTTAATCAGAGAGGCAGAAATTGACGTTCTGGAACTTCTCTTATTCCACCACTGCCCCAACATACTCTCTCAGGAAAAGGCATGTCCATACCAATATTACTTTATCCATACTACGTGACGGCGGTGCTATTTCAGAGTTGAGATTTTCTGTAGGATTATTCGTTTTTAAAGAACTGTGATTTCTCTGACCAGTCAGTGAAAGAAACTGTTAGCTTCAGAGGATTCTAGTTTTCCCATAGTACCGAAAGGAAAAAAAAAATACGTTTAGGTATTTCTTCCTCCTACTTGCTCACCTTTCACTCTTACGGTGTTTTATAAGGTGACAAAGCAGGTCATGATGAAAGTAAAATAGTTCAAGATCGGGCAGACTGGTTAGGAGATAGAGGTTTTTGAGGAATCCGGGATTAGCATTACTTTATGTAGCATATAAGTCAGCCACTTCTTTGGTATATTGATTTGCTTGCATTTTAAGAAAGAAAAATGGGCTACAATTTCCTTAATGGTATGCTTCTGGTTTATAGATCGTTCTTATATGCGATTAACAGAAAAGGAAGATGAATCACTGCCAATAGATGTAAGTTGGTCATTTATATTCCGTTAAAATATATTTTAAAAATTAGCCACATAGCTTATAATAATTTTTTACTAGTTCTTGTTCTCTTAAAAAATTTCCAGACATGAAGTAACATCTGTTCATTACTTTACTATTTGTCACTCATTGTAAACCCCAAAGGTTTGGAAACAAAAGATTTCTGTTTGGTTTCTAGAACTGTAGTTTAAGTAGTCATTCTAGAAGTTGTTCTGTTCATAGTCTGAGATGGACTTAAAAAGTTGATTATTTGACTTTATTTTACTTAGCAAAGTTCCTTTTTATGTAAAGGCTAAGAACAAGCAAAACTAAACATTGTTTATGGACATATATGTAGGTGGAAAAAGTAAAGAAAAACAAGGAAGTGTTTTTTTAAGCTGAAATGACAGTGTGAACTTCACTCATCATTT